TCCACACACCATCCACCTTGTCCGTGCTCTCGCGCCGGGCCCGGACACCCGCTCCTAGCCAAGGCGCCCGCCGGGCCACACGCGGCCCACGGCCCTGCCCGGGACTGCAGACCTCCTCCCCTGCACGGGACCCACACAAAAGCCCAGTGCCCTGACGCTCTCAGCCGCAGACCCCAGTCCCCAGCCGCTGCTGCCCTTCACCTGTTCCCGAGAAAGGCTGCATCTCCGAGCCGAGGCAAGGCCGTGGGCCTGGGCGGAGGGTGCCGGGGGAACCGGGAGCCGAGGTCCCAGGGAGGCTACAGAAGATCCGCCGGGCGAAGCCCGAGCCCCCGCAGCCCGCGAGATTATCTCAGAGACCAAGGCTCTCTCCTTGGCGAGCTCTTGCGTTTTCCTCCGTCTCCCGCAAGTCTTAAACACTCACACGCCGAGAGTTCAGCTCTATAAATCCTGCTCCTCTTTCCCATATCATAATTAAAAAAAACCAGTAGGGGAGGTTTTAACTTTTATTGCGATTTCTGGAGTTGGGCTGCGGAGCATATATTAAGTTTACGCTTATGCGCTCTCGGCGGGGAGGGTCCTTTAAGAAATAAAAATCCATCTTAATATCCGCAGACGAGAGAGATAATTTTTTCCCTCCTCTTCACGCTGTTTCTTCTGAAGACTCCCTTCCAGCGAAGCGAATAAATAACCACCATCGCCTTAGCCATAATCTACAGTCCCAGGGCCCCGGGGTGGACTCTGGCCACCAGGCTGGCCCTCACCTTGGCCGGGTGAGAACTCGCCCCATTCCCCAAGATCTGGGGAGGGGGACACCCCAGACTCATGGCTCTGTGGCTACCCCCCTATAAGCCCACCAGCTTCGAAACGGAAATGGGGGCAGAGAGAGACCCAAAGCGCAAAAGTCGTTCATTGGTGAATTTCGGCCCATGAGGGACGGTCTCCCCAAGCCAGGCACTCCTGAGCACCCCGCCCCTGCCTGGGACTCCCTTCACTCCAACTGGCCCTGTGATTCTGACAGCTTGAAAACTCAGAGGCTGCTAAGGTCTCCCAAACCAGGGGAGCCCCTGCCTGCCTCGCACCAGCTGGCCTTCCTCTCTGAAAACCTCCCTATTTCCCCGGGAGCCATAGAGAGATTTGAGCATTTTCCTTCAAGGGGAGAGATTATTTTCCCCCACAAAGGGCTGGGGGACAGACAGAAAGACAGACTAACAAATTCTAGGGAGGATTCGAGGGGGGGTCTAGGGAGAAGAAAGGCTCTATCCCATTTTCTCCTCTAGCCTCCCTGGGGTCAGAGGAAATCTCTTTGTATGAGAGAGAGAGAGAGGAAAATACATGAAGTATTCACATAAAAATATACTTGGGATTTGAGAGTGCCTGGAGGAGCCAGAGATACAGAAACAGAGACTCACACCCATACAAGGGTAGATACATCCCCCCAGCAGACCACTGTAAGAATATAGAACTCCAAGTAGATATTTTGTGACAGGACACAATTTTATTCCTGTCTCCAAGTTGAGAATGTGTTAATAACCATACTAATTCCAAAGTAAGAGAACCAACAGCCTGTGCTTTTCCTTTTGGCATTCTCTTTCCCAGTCTCTCTGAGAGCGGGGGTGTATCTCCCCATTCTCCCCGATCCCCCCCCCGCCCCATTTTTCTCTGCGGGCAGAGAAGCCTTTTTTTTTTTTTTTTTTTTTTTTTGAGGGCTTTCTCTCTAGCAACCAGGGCCAGGATGGAGGAACCAGGTGGAGAAAGGAGGGAAAGAAGCGTTGCAAAGTTTCACATTGCCCAGATTCTCCCTTACTCCGTTATCCTCCCCTCCTCCCCCTGGCATCAGCCAACAACCTTCCCAACAATATGGCAATGGTGGGCGCTGGCATCCTCATTCACCCAGGCATTTCCACACAGCGCGAAGACAGGCAGCTGCCTGACAGCCACAGACACAACAGACCCAGGCCTATGGGACAGCTAAACGGACACTAGAGCCAGGTTCCTGCCCTGATGTTTCCCAGTAGGGTGTGTGTGGGGGGGGGAGGTTTCTACTTGGACTTGATGGCTTTCCTCTAACCTACTAACACCCTAAATATATGCCCTTTCTCACTGGGGATGGAACTGTAGAAAGGGAAGGGGAGGTGGTAGAGCTGGCGCTCAGAGTTCCCCAACTCTTGGGACCCCCCCCATCAGTCACCCCACTTTTCTAAGGGGAAGCTCAAGCCCTAGCCGACCACAGCCAGATTTTTGTCCTTGGAGGTGGCAGGTGAGAGAAACTAGCCCTTCCAGAGAATCCCTTCTCTTTCTGTGCTCTCCTCTCTCCTACTGACCCTGCCCCACCCAGCTACCCAACTGAGCTGGCCCTCCAGGCCACCTCTTACTCAAATTCCTGAATTTCTTTGGAATTGGCTAGACTTTCTTTGTCTGTCTCCGTCAGCTGGGCCCAGGAAACAATAGCTGCAGGAAAAAACTCCTCTCCCCCACTCGCAGGGATTGGGACAGGCTGAGGGGTGGACAGTATAAAACGGGGCTCTCCAGACTTGTCCTGTGGCCCCACTCACAGCTTGCCCCCATCAGTCTGTACCCATTTTGCCCTATCTGGGAGGGGGCTGTGGGGCAGTCCCACTGGGGAGGGAAGGAGCGGGGTAGGTGGGTTGGGGCCCTCGACGAAAACCGACTGATGTAACTCAGGCAGTTTCTTGTTGCCGAGTTCAAAACTCAATCCCAACAACATGAAACTACCTAAGCCACAGATCAGCTGAGCGAGCAGGGCGGGAGATTCGGGAGGAGAAGGGAAGGGGGTTGGGGAAGGAAGAAATTCAGCCCCGTCCCCCTTTCCGCCCCCACAACCTCCCTAAGGACTAGAGAGTAGACTTTGGGTGGCTGGGTGGGTAGGGGGTCTGACTGCCTCATCAGCTTCTGGTCTAAGCAAATTGCTCAGGGAAACTGTGGTGAAATGGGACCTCCAGCCGCCAAACCCCCGCCCCGCCCCCAGCACCGCAGTGGAGCTATTCCCCTGCCTCTGGCCCTGGCCCTGGGGGAGGCTGGAGGGTCCTTCCACTCTTGAGCTGGGTCCCCTGTCTTGTCCATCTGGCTCTCCTGTGCTCTCCTCCTGGATTCCCTCTGATCCTCTCCCTCTCCCTGCTCTGCTTCGCTCCCCTGCATCTATGGGTGGCCGAACCAAGGCGCCTGTGCTCCAGAGCCTCTTCCAATCAGGCCACTTGCCTGGCAAAGCCCCACGGCCGGGAGCGTGGGGACCGAGAGCCTGAATAAGGCTTACATCCAAACCAGCAGAAAGCAGGAAACCTAAGCTTCAAGCTCCAGCCCTCTCTAGCCCACCCTCCCCCTGCTTCCCCCAGCCGACGACCAGACTGAGCGACATCTAGACCCATGTGTCGACCTCAAGGCGACCCTAAGTGCCCGTGTAGCGAAAGAAGCCAAAAACCACCAATTTACCCCTCTAACCGCCGAACCCCAAGGCAGCGGGTCGGGGAGGGGAGGAGAGGGAGCTCCCGGCCACTGCCCTCCACTGCGAGCGGCCACAAGGCAAGCCTGGGTTCTCAGCACGCTCAGACGCCCGAAACACCTTCCTCCCTGTTGTGCCCGCGGCACGCCGGGCACCTGGGGACGCCACTAGTCCCCACTCCGCCGCCAAGAGAAGAACAAGAAACCGCTTCTCTTACCTTGTCGCCGCCTCCTCCTCCTCCTGCCTCTGCCCGAGCTTCTGCTGCTGCTGTGGGGGGGGGGGGTGTGTGTGTGGTGGTGGTGGCTGAGCTCCTCGTCCCCCTCCGGCGGTTAAGTTTATTCCTCTCCTTGGATAGGTGGGGGGCTCTTGGGGTTCCCCCAGCAGCGGTGGGGTGTGCCTGGCCCAGCACCCCAGGCAATCAGATCCGTCTGCTCCTTAAGATTGCAGTTTGCTCTCTGCCTCTTTCCCTCCTCCAGTCACCTTTAAATGCATCTTTTACTGCAGCACCACATTATATTTGCAGATCATAAAATCCACCTCTCGCGCGCACCAAGACCGTCCTGACATTACTGTTTTATGACCTTGACTTATTGTGGTCACCTGGATAATATTTAAATCAACGTTATGGTCTCTCACTTACATTAAACCCGCCAAGAGACATTCTAGAAAGGCTCTAGGAGATGAGTCAAACACAAAACACACACATCCACACACTCAGCCTCTTTGGGGGTGGGGGTGTTGCTAAAAAACATTTAAAAACAAAAAACCACCCATTTGAGGATTACGATTCTGGAAATTTATTAGGATTTTCTTCTCCATTAAGGAAGCTACATGCAAAAGATACAACATACAGAATATCTTTAAATAACACAACTCCCAGACAGGGACAGGGCGATATTTGGGGGGGGGGGGCATTCTGTCTTTGCTTCACTATGTTCTATTTTAAATTTTTAAATGTTTTTGTATTCCTCTGGATGGAATTTCTGAGGTGTCGGTGGCGGGGGGATGCGGGGGCGCTGGGAGGAAGGGAGAAAAGCAGAAAGCGGTACAAATACGAGACTTCAAGCAGATTCTCAGAGCAACTGGGAGGTAAAGACACGGAGAGGGTTTGGTGGAGGCGCTGGGCGCTACGACAAACACACAAACACTAGCCGAACTTTCCAAAACGTCTATTATCCTAAGGAGGAAATGCAGCGAGGAAGGAGCAATTCTGACTGTGCTCTGCGAGATTACAGACCTTCTCTGGTTGATTTTTTTCCCCTCTTTCCCCCCCTATGATCGGGTGGATTCGACCTTAACTTTGCATGGAGGACAGGATGGTGTGTGTGAGTGCGTGGGTGAGTGAGGGGTTGACACACACACCAGCCACACTCCCACCCTCGTCTATGAGGGCGCACCACACCCCACGCCCCGGCACCCCATTTCTCATGCTTTAGGTGGACGCATCTTCGCAGCACGAACCATAGGTCCCTTGGAAGGAGAGTCTGAGGTCTTTGCCTTTTTTGCAGGCGCGTTGCATTTATACTCAGGGAGGAAAAAAAATATACCACCAGGCACAAAGGGAGGAGGGGCGGGGAAAGGAAGGAGCGGGGAGAGGGGGGAGGGGGAGGGGAGGCCGAGCGCTCAGGTGAAATTAAAATTGGAGGTCAGTTCCCGGATCCGATTCTCTCGGTTCATTTTCTTGAGTTTCATTCTGCGATTTTGAAACCAGATTTTGACTTGTCTGTCTGTAAGGTTAATGGTCTTGCTAATCTCCAGGCGGCGCTCTCGAGTCAAATACATATTGAACAGAAATTCTTTCTCCAATTCCAGCGTCTGGTGTTTAGTATAGGGGCACCTCTTCTTCCTTCCGCTCTTTGCTGTCAGCCAATTTCCTGTGGTGTTTTCTGCCTTTATCTCCTCTGTTAAAAATAACATTATTTACATAAGTATCCCTTGAAGAGGCAAACCCTCGCAGAAAGCTGCGGCCTCTTGCCAGCCTGCTGTGGGGGCGGCTGAGGGAGCACAGGGGGGCTGTTTTCACCCCCACAGGCCTGGCTGGTGGGGTCCTCTTGGGCTCAGGGCTCTTAGAATTTCTCTGGGGGTCCTGACTTACGTGGGGGGAAAGACAGACACTTCTTGCCTCCAGAGCATTTATGAATTAAATTACCCCAATCCACCTTGACTTAACAGATTCTGAGTACTCCCACTCTCCCTCAGCTTCCTGACCCTGGCACGCGATCTCAACGTCACCAGCACCCCCCACTCCCCCCCATTTCATTCCGGTTCTGGAAAAATCTAACTGGAAGGCAAAGCACCTCCCAGGCCCCATACTGGGTTGCAGGGTCCCCCCTGCTGCCTAGAGCAATTCCCAGAGAGCTTTGACCCCTTTCAACTCGGTGGAGGGATGTCGCCTTAGTCTCTGTGGCCAGAGGCCACTGCAGCTGTCCCTGCACCAGACCCCCAGCCCTTGTTCCCACCTGGAGTGCCACAGAGCAACTCTGCCCCTTTCAATCTCCCGTTGCCAGCTCTTCCTCTCCTGGCCATTGCCCCCAGGTGTGAGTAGCCGAAGCAGGGTTGTTGGCGCAGGCGGCAGAGGTCAGGGGCAACGGCTCTGGGGCGTGCTGAGGGGTCCTCAGACAACTGCCCTAGCCATGGGACCTAAGGTCAAGGGAGAGAGATATCCTGAGGAAATGCAGCCTCCTGGAAATCTCCACCTAGTCTCTAGAGATATGTATGGCTCTATGTCCATGTGAATTCCTGTAGAGATACACATGGCTGCACATATGCACACACGCATAGACATGGACACATGTGTCTATTTATATAAGGAGATGCTACAGACATAGGGTGTCTTTCTCATGATCTTCTTGACAGCTTCTCTCCTTGGCACACATTCTTGCTGGGATGGACCAGCCTTGCTCCTCAAGCAGCAGAAGAGACCTTGGCCATCTTTTCTAGGGAAAAACCCAGAGTCCAGACACTCAAGAAGGGCACCCAGCAAAGGACTCTGCTGCTGGCTCTGTGCTCTATCTCCCCGCTTTGCCAAATGAAACTGCCAGATTCCTCTCTCTTATCTCGATGGGGAGTGGGACATGGGCCCTACGGGAATCAAGAGGCACCAAAAAACAAAAAAAACAAAAAACAAAAAAAAAAGCAAACTTGAGGCTGTAGTTTAAGACATTTGAATGTCCTTAATTCTGCTCTGGCCTCTGCACCTGCAGCCTCTTGCCAAACTGTTTAGAGGCTCTCCACATCTAACCCTGTCCTATTTATTTTCTTATTGGGGTTGTTAGGTTTTGGGGGATGGGAGAAATTACAAATGAGGAAGTCTGGCCAAAAGCCCTCTTGGCTGTGGCCTGGTCAAGGCACCATATGGGGGGGGTGGAGGCAAGAAGGGCACAGGCAAAGTGCAGACTTAGAAGGATTACTTGGGGGTGGAGGGGCTTAGGTTTGCTGTAGAGAGGGCAAGAGAGAAAGGGGTGCCTACCCAAATGGGGGCAGTCCGAGTTAGGAGGTAGACTTGTTAACCTTGACTTTGCTTTTGGTGGGGGTTAGGACGAAGCTTTTCCGTTCCTAAAATTGTGTCCCAACAAAGCTCAGGGTTTGGGGAGAGGGCACAAAATTAAACTTTCCTGCTGCACGTGTGCCACAGGGAAGCCTTCGTGCGTGTGTGTACCTCCTTCTCTCCTTCAGCCTCATGAACACGCCCGCGCTCCTCCTCCAGCTGGGGTCTCCATAGGCTGATTTGCCAAGGCCACCTTTGCAGAGGAGACCCAAGAGGGTAAAACTCTACCCTTGCCTGCCAAAACAGTGTGTGTGTGTGTGTGTGTGTGTTTGAGAGAGAGAGAGAGCGGGCATGCGTGAGTGTGTGCGAAGCATGCGAGAGGCGTGTGTGTGTGTGAGTGTGACACGGGTCGCCGCCAGGCATGCGTGTGCGCCGCATCCATATACAAAGCACCATAAGATCCAGGCCGCCCCCAATCTGCTCAGCTCTCAGTATTTCATCTTGGTCTACACCCAAGGAGCCCCACTTATATACAGCCTCCAGGAGCCAGTGCCATGGGAAACAGGTTTATTCCTCTCCTCCCCGTTGGGCCTTTTCTGATGTTTTTGCTTTAACTTTTCAGGGCAAGTCGGCCCCCTCAGGCTCCCTCCACGGCTCCCATTTCCTCCACATTCTTTCTCCAGGTGTCAGAGAAAGGTCCTAGAGGCCCCCTGTTCCTGCAGCAGAAATGAATCTTGAACCCTGAGCTTGAACTCTGGATAGGCTTTCTCTCTCCAACCAAAATCACAATGAAATCCAACTAAAGCAACATTCCCTTTCAGGAGAAAACCGCTTGCCACGCACGCAGAAATTTCGCAACCACTCATTTGTAAGCTGCTTTAGGAAAACAACGAAAAAAAAATTTTTTTTAAATTTAACTAGAAAAAGGAAAAGGAAAAAAAAAATAACAGGGGAGACAAAAAAGGAACTTGCAACATCCCAAATGCCCTGTCCCAACGCTAACCCCTGGCCAGGCGTTTGGGGGAGGGAGGGATGTGGCGGTCAGCCCTTCACCTCCACCTCTTTCCGCCCCAGCCCCGAGGCCTGAGCCCCCCCCCCCCCCCCCGGCTGAGCCCAAACTGCAGGAGCCCAAACCGCAGGCACAGATCAGACTCACAAACAACAAATCGCGCTTCGAAGGGAACAATTTTCAACTGGGAAAACGCAGTAAAGCGAAATCCCGCTTCTCTCAAGCCTTCCCTAGTCCCTGGCCCAAGATCGCCATTTTAAGCTTTTTGCAAGCTTCTGACCTGAATGGGGGGACATCAGCCCCCCAGTCACCACCGTAGAGCAAGCAAACCACAGCCAGCACGCGCCGGGGAGCCGTCATCAGCCCTGGGCAGCACAAGGCGCCTGCAGGCTGCCCGCGGTGCGCACGACTCCCGGGTCTCGGCGCCCACGGCCGCTGCCGGCCCGGCCCCTCCACTCCGCCGCTTACCTTCCTTAGCCAAATGACGCGCCACCAGCCTGGCGCTCAGCAGACACGAGTCGCAAGCCGGGATCGCATTCCCGGGGCCGTCCAGGGCCTCCTCGGCCCAACCCTCCCCTTGCCCCCGCCCCAGCCACGAAGACCAAGTGCCCGAGCGTCCCAGCCGGGCCGCGGCCCAGGCGGCCTTACCTTTCGCTTCGTTATCCGAGGTGTCCGGGCTGGAGTCCGCGGTTTGGGCCCGCTCCTTTTCGCTCTCCAAGGGGCTGCCTTTGGGGCCCGCCAGGCTCTGCTCGGTCTTGATCTCACTGGGGCTAGGGGTCTGGCTGTCGGACTTGGGGGTCTCGGGGAAACTCACTTTGCCCCCGAGCTGGGGCGACTCCAGATGTTCGGCGCGCGGGTTGAGACCGGCCCGCTGCTCAAAAGGGGCTTCGAAGTCGTTGGCCCCGGCACAGTGGGGCGGCTTGTCCAGCGCGGAGTAGCTCGGGCTGGCGCGGTAGTAGCTGGGCACGGGCACCTCGTGCTCCCCGAGGCAGGACTCCTGCAGGGGGTGGGAGTAGAGAGCTGCCTCGGGGCCACTTTTCGCCCGCTTCTCTGCGCTGTACATGCAGCAGACATTCTCCTCCTTGACACTAGGTGGGTAGGAACAGGAGGACAGCGGCCTGCCAACAGGTTGTTCCAGGCGGTAGGTGGCTTTGGGGTCGCCCCAGGAGTCCAGCTGCGAGAGGTAGGACGGGTAGGTGTTGAGGGCGAGGTTGGGGCTGCTGCCCTCGTCCCTCTTGGAGAGCGAGGGCGCGAGCCCGCAGCCCCTCATCACCCCGCAGTTGAAGTCACTCCCAGATTGCATATACATGCCTGCGCTCCGGCTATAGCGCTCTCCTCCGCCGGGCGCAGCCAAGGGCTCAGCGTACGAGTTCGGAGTTACATTGCGAGGGCATGTCATTTTCAGAGAGAGGGGTTTTTAAGGAGCAATACTACAGCGGAGGAGCTGACATCTTTTTTTTTTTCCCCATCCGGGAGGGGGGGCGGTTGGAGGGGCGGGAGGGAAAAGAAGGGGAGGGGGGGGGAAATATCAGCTCCATAATTATCCGCGCATTCGGTCCTCACCATGTGACGGCTAGACCAATGGGATTTGAAAATGGCCTTGATGATTCAGACGGCCGTGACGTCAGTGGGGTCAAGTTGTCGGCAGGCGGAGCGCGCAGCGTGGAGTAACAGCGCCACCTAGCAGCCGCCTTGGGGTAGGGGCGCCGGAGCCCTTCCCCGCGAACAAAGGAAGCGCCCCCGGGGCAGCAGGGGCAAGAGAGGGGTGGAGGAAGGTGGGGGGGGGGGGAGATTCTAGGCAGAATGGGGTTTGTTTACCCGGGCACCAGCCTGTAACTCTTGGGGAAAGTGGGGCGGGGAGGGGGGGAAAGCAAGAGAGAGAGAGCGAGAGAGCAAGGCAACTCGGGGCTCAAAACAGTCAAATTCAAAGTAAAAGGTCAAGACGCGATTCAGGTACCTCTTCCTTCTCTTCACCTCTCCTTTTCCTCTCCTGGCCCCTCGGCCCCGCTTCTTCCCTTGGGATGCGTGCGGGGTGAAGTTTGTGGGGAGGGCTCCAGTGGGCGGAGATAAGGGAGAAAAAGTTAAGGAATCCCAAAGAGAACTAAACTTTCTGCTCTCCTGCGTCCCGGTTCGCCGGGCTTGGCCCGGGAGCTCAGTTCCGGGACCTCAGCTCATGAAAGCTGGTTGAGTTGAAGTGCCCTGTGGGGTTTGGCGGGGGGAGGGGGGGAGCCTCCAGTGTCTGGAGGGGACCAAAGAGAGGGTCTCCATCACTTCGGGACTGCTTCAGGAGGCTAAAGGAGGTTTGCAGCGGATCTAGGGATCCGGGGGAGGAGGAAGCCGGAGACCAGAGGCACCGGCTCCCGACCCCAGACCCCGGGAGCGCAGCCTGGCCTTTGCAGGGTGGGTGGCTCCTGGGTCACCGTCTCAGGGGCTGGAAGGCTTTGGCCTTGGAGTCGGTTCGGCTGCTTTGCTGCAGGCCGCGGCGGCCCTCGCTTTCCAATTGACCTTGCCCCCCACTAAAACAGGGAATATTCCCAGAGAGAAAGAGGGAGTCTGCGGGGCCTCCGCGGGTTTGTGGGGAGTCACGTATCACACGGGAAACTAGGACACCAGACGCGACAAAATCCTACCCAGAGACGTGTCCTTTACAGAGCGAATGAGATGGGGGGGGGGCATTTTTCAATGGGGAAGAGGAACCAGCTTGTTTTTGGGGTTTTTATTTTTTAAGAAAGGGAAACGCGAAATAAGGAACGAGGTATGTTTTAAGGAGCTCTTTCCGTTTCTCCATCGCCTTTCTCCCAAAGCGAACTAAACTCTCCACCCCTTCCTCAGGAAACGGAATCTGGAGAATAACTTGTCTTTCCGGTCGCCCCGCATTTCCCACCCCCCCGGACGAAGCCTCCTGTTTCGATTTTCCAAAGGGCCGGAGCCCCGGCCGGGCAAGGACCGGTGCTCAGGGCGCCCTGGCGTGGAGTGTGGAGGCTGGATCGCTTCTGGAGAGGCCCAAGCCAGCGGCTGCTAGGAAAGGACTTCGGAAAGAAATCGGCCGAACTCTCTCTCATCCAGGGGGCAAGAGAGGAGGCAGAGGGGTGCCTGGACCCCGGGAATCCTGGAAGAATATGTGTAATGTGTGACTTGGTGGCAGGGCCAGCCAGGGGAGATTAAAAATGGTTTTGTGTTTTCATTTGCAGGGGTCGCCGTGGGCTCAGCGCAGGGGTTGGCCGGGGCAAGGTTAGGCTGTTTAGGCCCCAGAGGAGACTTGGGACAGCCCGGGCGGCACTCAATCCAGGGAGCCATTTGTCCCACCGCCCACCCCGCGGGAAACGGCAGAGACTTTATGGCCACTCTGTTTGTATTATCTGCATAAGTCTTTCCCCACCAGTTTGATCGAAACTGTTCGCTTTTACGAGGACCCAACGAAAATTCCCCGTCATATTTATCAGCCGGGGATAAAAATTTAGTATGGGAACTGATATTTCCTCATTTATGGGGCGATGAAATTAAAGACCAAAGCAATTGAGAATTATATGGCTTTGGGGGGTTCCCTCCCCCCTCTTTCACATCTCCATTATTTTCCCGCCTGGTGTGCCTGTCCCTGGAGTTTGGCGTCCCAGTCCCCTGCCCTTGCCCCCTGTTCTGGGGTCTACTGGGCTCTCTCCGTCACACCCAGGTACCGCTTGGCCAACCTTAGCTTTTCCTGGGTTTTGTCTTGGTGTCCGTAGCTGGGGGCCGGGACAGGGCGCCCGGAGCCTCTGCCCCGGCCAGCCTGGGATCTAGCTGGGGTGGGGGGGGATTGCCAAGAGCCTTTCAGGGGAAGGATCGGAGCCCAGCCTGGGAGGGGGCGAGGGAGGTGGCGGAGGGTGAAGAAGACAAACTCCAGATTACCTCTCAAAAACAGCCAGCCCCAAGATGTAATCTGGAGAACTAACGGGAGAGGAGTCACTCTGCCTCTGGACCGGCTCTCCCTGCCAGCCCGGCACCCACCCAAAACTCACTCCCTACCTCAGCCATGTTAGGGGTAGGAGTCGCTTCAGAATTCTTGCCATTATCAATGGAAATAAACTCCTCCCCCCCAGAGAAGGAGCCTCCCGCCTCAGCTCGCACCTCCTCACAAGAACGAATAGTGTTTAAAGTTGAAATAATTAAAAGTATGATAAACACGGCCCATTAATGAAAAAAGAAATCAAATTCATCAGCCTAAGTGGGACCCCCGGTGGGACAAACGTTTGCCTCTAATTACGCAGGATAAACGCAAACCCAGAGCTGTTAAAGGAGACCCTGAGCGGACGCAGACTTGAATAACTTGTTGGGTTTTTGCAGACTTTGGGATTCTGCCCCCGTGGAGGCGAAAGAAAGGAAGGAGTGAGGGTGAGGATGGGGTGAGGGGAGCATTTGAGCGGGTCCAAGAAAGTACAGTCGGGTGTGGGTCCCAGCCCTGCCCCCTTGGGCTCGGTCTTTCCCGAGGCCACGAGCAAAGGCCGTTTCCGTCCTATTGTCCGGGCCTGGCGTTCAAAGGCACTCGGGCTGCCACGGCCATCCAGCCTGCTGCCGCTGCCCCGCAAGGCACCCACCGGCCCTACCCCACAGAGCCAAGACCCTCAGGCCTGCGCCCCCGGGAACTGGATCGGGGTCAAGAGAAGCCTGTGTTGCTGTATTCACCCTACTAGACCATTTTCCAAACTTTCTGGGAGTGCGGAGAGACCTGTGCCTATATCTGACGCCGGGGCTCCCCTTCTTGCCTCAATTTGGGGATGTGAAAATCCAAGGGCTGCAGGCCAGACCAGGGCTCAGGCTGTGCCTACTTGTCGACCAATCCCACTCACCCCGAGAACCCTGGCATTGTGTACGCTTCTTCCCGGTACCCAGAACCTGGAAGGGCAGCAGGGATGGGGGGCTGGGCCTATGGGACTGGGCGCAAGGGAGCAGAGAAGGGTGCTCCTTGCTTGCTCCTTGCATATTCCAGAAAGATCGGCGGTTCCAGAGGGCAGGCTGAGGGCTGGGGCACTAGGGGTCCCCATGTGAAAACAGAAGAAGGAAAACGTAGTGCTCAACGAACAGAAAGGGACCGCGGCTGTCTTCCAGGCTCCAGCCCTCCAAATGCCCCCAGAAACACCCCGATTTTTCCAAGGAAAATTAGGAGAGGTTCCCAAAGAGGTTCAGGAACTCATCTGGGGAATTCCAGGGGTGAAATGAACAACAGAAGAGCGGCTCTCCCTTTGGGGTAAAATAATAAAATAAAATAAAATAAAATAAAATAATAATAAAGTTCGTGTACAGAGATCTCTTCAAGTGAAATGGAAAACAAAATCACCCAGTGGTGAAAGTTGCAGGCAGATTTTCCTCTTGTTTTGGAGGCACAGCTATGTCATTCCCATCCCAAAACTTGAAGGAAAATTTTGCTTTTGACTTCACTAACACAAGGCTCGGCCCGGGCTGACCCAGGAGCGGGCAACATCCTGGGCAAACTGAAGAATGCTCAGAAGCCCAGGAAAGAGATTTTCAAACAGGTTGGCGAGAGATGTGGGAGACCCAGGACACTTGGAGGGGCCTCTAGTCTACTCCGGATCTCACAGCCACCCTGGCAGCCCGGCCGCCAGAGTACCTCTCACAACTGGACGTTGTACACATTCGTACCCAAATGCTATGGAATTTACCGTTCCCATACTTGTCTACACTGCGTTTAATCATGTGCGCACAGCCACAAATAGTCACCTTTACCTAAAACACATGCTCCCTGCAATCCCCACATCCTGAAGTCTCATAACCTGAGCCAGCACAACTGCAGTCTTTGCTTTGCCGATGCTGGCCAGTTATTTCACTTTGCCTCCTGAATCGAAACCAGACAAAAAAACACTTTGGAAAGAAGCTTTGAGACAAGGAGACAGAGGGGAGTATGTTTTGGTCCGGGGATGCCTTGCCCCCCACTTTAGTGATTTGCTCCCAAGTTGCCCCAGTAGATTGGGTTTCCAGCGGGAAGTCAGGGTTGTGGTTGGGCCGCCTTGCTTCGGAGAAAAACCCCGCTCCTCCCTTACCGGCTAAATTCCTTTTCGAAGATCTGCTTTCTGCTTTCCATCCTTTTTTCCTCTTTGTCCCTTCCTTCCTTCCTTCCTTCCTTCCTTCCTTCCTTCCTTCCTTCCTTCCTTCCTTCCTTCCTTCCTTTTTCTTCATGCTTCTTTCTCTTTATTTGCTTCTTTATTTTTCTTTCCTTCCTTTCCCCCCTGCAATTTATTTTTTCCTTCATTTTTTCCCTGATCTTTTCTCTTTCTTAATTCATTGTTTTCTTCATTTCCTTCTTCCCTTTTTCTTCCTTTACTGCACGATTTGTTATTTGCTCTTTTCTTCCTTCCTCAAGGCCTTTCCTTCCCCCTTGACTTTCTGTCCCCCACCCCAGCCTTCCTT